TTATCTTTTTCAAATCTTTATCAATACAATAATGTACTTAATAGTCATAACAAAATGCTAGATTTAGTTATAAGTAATTTTGACTGTACTGTTGAGAAAGACTGCACTCATTTAGTTGATGAAGACCATCATCATCCAGCCCTATCTGTAACGCTTAATAAGATCTTTCCCAAACATGAATCTATCAATTCAGTTATGGAACATAAACAATAAAATTTCAAAAAAGCTGACTTCGTTGCATTGTATCAGGATTTGCTGTTTATTGATTGGTTATTATTGGAAAATATTGGTGATATTAACCAAGCGGTTGACAGATTCTATGGTAAGATATACGAATTACTTGATATACATGTACTATAAAAAATTTAGGCATAGACATCCTGTTTGGTATACAGCTGAAATTATTCTTCTAGTTAAGGAAAAGGCTTAATTACATAAGAAGTTTAAATTTTCACGCGCAATGCTGATGTTTATGAAAATTTTAGTAGGCTAAGAGTAACTGTTAAGCAGAAAAAAAAGAAGTTTATGATCAGTACCTAAAGAAAATTTAAAATCAGTTAAAACATGAACCGAAATCATTTTGGGCGTTCATGCATCAAAAAAAATAATACTTCTAGGATACCTGGACAAATGTCTGATGGAAATGAAATGTTACATGATCCTAAACATATCAGTAATGCTATCGCTAAGTTTTTTGAGAGTATTTACTCTGTACCTGATATTACTGATGAACAACTTAGTTTTGACTTTCAAGGATGCGATCTATTGGATATTACCTGCGTAGCGGTATCTGAGCGCGAAATTCTAAAAGTTTTACGAAAATTAAAAAAAAGTTCACTTCTGGGCCAGATCAAATTCCATCTTTCTTTCTTAAAGACTGCATAGCAGTACTAGCAAGGCCACTTAAAATATTGTTTAGTTTGATCCTGAATACTTCCGTTTTTCCTGACACGTTTAAAATTGCTAAAATATACCCTATATTCAAAAGTCAAGCTTCCAATATCATCACTAACTACAGGGGAATATCCATTTTGAACAATTTTGCTAAGCTTCTTGACATGATATTATATGATCGTATCTACCAGTCTGCAAAAAATTGCATTTCTATTTATCAACACGGTTTCACGAAGTTTCGGTCAACTATTAACAACGGTTTTTAGCCAGTTTTTATGTGAAACAGTTGACAGCAGGGGTCAAGTTGATGTAATGTATGCTGACATTTCCAAAGTTCTTGACAAGATCAATCATGAGAAACTCAAGAAACTTTGTTATCTAGGTTTACAAAATAATTATGTCTTGCTATTCAGATCATATTTATCTAATAGACAACAATACTTATGTGTAAATAATGTGAGATCGAAAGTATTCACTGCCACTAGCGGTGTGCCGCAGGGATCCAATTTGGGACCTCTTCTATTCTCACTTTCTATCAATGATTTGTATGATTCACTTAATTGCAATAAGCTATTGTTTGTGGATGATTTAAATATATATGTATATATATATATATATATATCAGTATCCAGTAAAGAAGACAGTATCATCTTACAGGAACAAATTACTTTCCTACAGAACTGGTGTGTAAGAAATCATCTGCATTTGAACATTTCTAAATGCAAAGTAGTAACATTTAGTCGCAAGTCCAAGCCTATATCTTATCTAAACTGGAATATGGCTCACTCATATGGAGTCCTACATATAGCCAATATATCGTTGATATTGAAAAAGCACAAAAGAAATTATTGAAATTCATAGCTTTTAAAATCGATGGTGTGTATTCACCAAGAGGTTCTGTAGTTATCCTGAGCTGCTACATAGATTTGATTATCAGTCTTTGGAGAGCCGTAGATATCAATCTGTACTTTTCTTGCACAAGCTTTTCCATTGAAAAGTAGATTGTGTTGTATTGTTAGCTCAAGTAGATATTCTGGTTCCTAGAATTACATCTAGAGAATACAGGACTTTCCTGTGCAAAAGAGCTCAAACTAACTTATTACTAAATGCTCCAATCAATTTTATGTGTCTAAATGCCAACAAAATTTCATGTGCATGTGATATTTTTCACTGCAGTGTCTGTGAATTAAAGAATAAATCCCGCGACCATCTGTGATGGATTTTGTTCAAGTTTTTCATGTTTCTTTTGTTTCTGTTTCTTCTGTTTTACATTTTGTGCTGTAACTACCATGTAAGCTATACTACTGCTTTTTGCTCTGTAAATGGTGATCACTGTTGGGCAATAAACGCATTGTTATTATTATTATTATTATTAAGACAGACAACAACAAAACCGAGCTTTAAGAAACAACAACCTTGATTTTATAGGAGGAACTGTGAGGACCATTAATTACAATCCTACGAGTGAAAAGGTCAGTCACTTATCTGCAGAGTCTCTTTGGAAAACCGTAGAATTCAAGTTTGCATAGGAAGGTAGCATGCCAGAACTGTTCCAAATATTTTGTGTCAAGAGCAATGACTTCTATCTAACCGAATAGCTGACCAAGCTCTTTTTACACTGATGCAACCGAGCAGGCAGAAACCTAAGTACCTTCTCAAGATTCCAATTATTTAGCAACCTGGCAGCAAGACATGAAAATAGGTCGGAAATGTCAGAAAATATAGCCGGCACAACACAAAAGACCTTTAGAAGCGCTGTAAGTTCATCAAATGATACCAAGGCTACACGAAATTGACAGGAATTAATCTCTTCATCATATCCTATACGGTTAATACTATTCTGCGGATCAAAGGCCGATTTGTCGTCACAAAAAGGAAACAATCAGCGGCAAATTCTTTATTTCCGTTGTGGAATTGTTGGCAGTGTAATTTGGATTGAGATCGAGTAGAATTAAGCGCCGATTGTATTTATATTATGCTGAACATTGTTTTAAACTGAATTGGCATTATATTGAATCCTTTAAGAAGAACTATCAACAAGACAGTCCTACTTTCCAGTGTATCCCTACTAATTAATATTTATCAATGTGAAACTGTATATACTCGTATGTTTATTTGTACGTACCGTTTTCACTTCAAAATGGTTGAACCGATTTTTATGACTTTTAGCATATTTGCAAGTTTGTTTTTCGTTAGGTTCTGTTAGAAGTAGACTTAAACGAAGAATGGATTATACACATATAACCGTAAATTTGGCATAGATGTAGCTTTTACGATTTAAAATTTAGCTTGATGTAAGATACTCATCTCATAAAATTGTAAAAATTTAAAGCACACTAAGTCGCGGGTAACAGCTAATCCTTCATATTTATAGAACAACATCATAACGTTTGTACTACGACATAAGGTTTTTCCAAATCCAGTATATAAATTAGATTTAGAAAATTAGAAACTAGGTCAACATCACGTTTGCACGAATACGTCTTAGTTGTTGCGAATTTGGGTTGTCTAAGAGGTGATATGTACTCCTGACTATTTAACCTCCTTAGCCAATACATTAATTTTGTTTATGATCATCGAAGTATTATCTAGCAAGGCGCAATTAAAATCTCTTTCGGCTAGACAAAATGACGTAAAGGACAAGAACTCGGAATGACACACTTGCATCAGTGGTATTGTAGCAATTATGAAAGCCCTAGTTCTATTATGCGTCTTGTATTTACAATAAACGAACCTGCGAAGCTTTATGCTTGACGGTTTCTTGATATCAACAGCTGATCGACTTCAGCGCATTGCCAGGACACAAAATGACGATGAAAATAGTGTACGAAAAAGATGTATTTCCAGAAATATCCGTCTAGGTTGTGCACAACAAAATAGAGATTTCATATCAATAAGCGTGTTCAGCTAATGTAAAGCGGTCTTGTGTGGTGATGCAGCGCTTCTAAGTTGGATAGCAGCAACGAGTGGATAGTTTTGTCATTTAGACTACAGCTTTACTTGATTGTCAGATTTGGTAGTTTGTTGATTCAATATTACGAACAATCAAAGGAATTCGATGGGTACTTCTATTCAGCATAAAAGTCCAGTAGTGGGACTCCGTGTCTCATGGAATTCTGGACCTTGCTTTCCACTGTTGATATCGACTATAGAAAGCAACTGTCGCGTTTTGTGGCACTCTGTGTCACGCTTCGGGTATTTTCGGCAATGTACTATCTAAGATGAAAGTATCTCATATTTTTTTAGTAATATCTAGTAATTTTTAATTTGTTATGTTTATGCTTGTATCGCATTGGCTCTTTTGACATTGACTGTAATTAACCTATCACCTGTGGCAGTGTTCTATATATGTTTGAAACCTTGGTCTTAGTTTTTGATTGCATATTTTACTGTTGAAAGCTAATGGCTCTAGTACCTATAAACATAGCTGCGATATTGGCAGTTGAAGAAGAGGAAAGGCTAGATGATATCTGCATCGAAAATATGGAGAGGAGATTGATGAGAAATGAAAGTGATCCCTTTTCACTTGAGGATGTGAGATTCAAAGAATTGTTCAGGCTGAATAAAGACATGTCCCAATATGTTTTAAATGACATCATACCTCATTTGAACCAGGTGCCGAATCCTGTAGCAGTACCTGTTATCCTGAAGTTTTTTGCTGCGCTTCATTTTTATGCTACTGGCACTTACCAAAGAGTGATAGGCAGGAGCTATGACATTTCAATGTCTCAGCAGAGTATTTCAAGGGCTATTCATGAAATAACTAATGCTATTATCAGTACATTTTCTGAACAACTGGTACACTTTCCAAGAACAGCATTAGAAAAACATGTAATTAAGCAAAGGTTCATGGAAGCAAGAGGTTTCCCTGGGGTAATCGGAGCAATTGATTGCACACATGTGGAAATACTAAGGCCAACTTTGGAAGAGCATAACTATTTGAACAGAAAGGGTTACCATTCCAAAAATATACAAATTGTGAGGTTGATTGATTAAATTAAAATATAATTCTATAATTTCCAAAAACTGTTTCCGGTTTGTGATCATGATCTAAAAATTCTTAATATCAATGCCAGGTTTGCAGGTGCATCTCATGATTCATATATATGGAGAAATTCATTGGTGAGAAATGAATTGGAAGCTTGCTATCATGGAGGTATGCTCACAGTGTTATTTGGTATTTCATAATCAAGGACCTTATTGCATATATATGAAATATGCACAAAAGCAATTGTTGGTTGATATTCCTTTTTGTAACATTCACAGATGAAAATTATTTTTAGATAACTTTTTTTTTAATGCAGGTGATAGACATTCATGGCTCTTAGGTGACTCAGGTTATCCTAAGGAACCATGGTTGATGACTCCTATCCAAAATGCATTGCCTGGTTCGCCAGAAAGAAGATACACAGATTCCCATACTCAGACAAGAAACTGTGTAGAAAGGTGCATAGGTGTATTGAAAGGAAGATTCCTCTGGTTATCAAATTTGCTCAGATATATCCCTGAAAAAGTGGGTAATATTGCAAATGCTTGTGCAATTTTACATAATATATGTGTAGCTGCTAGATTGGATTTTAATTTGGAGATGCTACCACTACAGGATACTGACAATCATCTAGAACAAGGCAATTTTGACCAAAGAACAAACAGAGATGGGATTTTGCTAAGAAGGAACATTATTGCCAGATACTTCACTAATTAGTATAATTAGTATCATGCGAGGTATCTTGTAAAGATGTATTATCCTTTTCCATATTACAAGTTGTTTGTCACTAAAACATAGTAATTTTTGAATCTGCTTAGGGCAAACATGCCAGTTTTGGAAAAGATGTTATAGGAATAAGTACTAAGACAAATTGTTAAGTTCCATGTAAAAATATTTAAAAAAATGTCTATATTTTGATACATACTGTGGTAGATATTTTAGAAAATGGTGATTGAAGTGGTTTCTAAAATGAGCATATCACTCATTCTATGAACTTTTTTATTTTTTTATACTGAAGCAGCCGTGTAGGCAGAAGCCCAAAATGCCATGGCACCGCGATTGCAATGATGAGGGACTTAGAGACAACTTGTTTATCCAAACCCTTGAACAGTCTAAGGCTGGTTGAACCGGGAAAAGCCTTCTCAGGCAGATTGTTCCACCGTCTCAAAACCTTGGGCGCAAAGGAGCTGTCGTACCGGCCAAATCTGGACGGACTCAGTTGGGATGGGGGCCAAAGTCTGACAGGCAGTGGTGGGAGAGAGCTCATCGACATCCCGTCGATGCGACAGGGTCTCGAGACCGTCCATCAGGAAGGGTCATCGATCAGCCTGACAGCCCTTCTCTGAACAGCATCGAGCATGGATAATGTGGTCGGAGGTGCAGTTCCCCAAATGTGGGCGCAATACTCGAGGCTAAGTCTTATCGAGGCCTTGTATAGAGTGAGGAGGTTATGTGAAGAAAAGATAGACGTAATATTTTTACTGGTTTGAGTGGCATAAGACAAGATTTTCCTTCAATCTTCGATTTTTCAACTTTCTTGTAGAGAATTGTCTTGATTTAACTGATAATAAATGAATACACAAAATATGTTTTAGACTTTTTATTATAAATTTTCATGAGGATTATATGGCCTAGTTTGATATTACAAAAATGTAGTGAAAGCAAGTCAACCAATAAAAATATACTCAACTGTCTTTTGAAAATGCTGTTTGTGCAACAGCAGAAAGTATTTTCAATGACTCTGCAATACATTGGGTATTACTTTCTACTTTTTTGGGGACCTGGAGTGATTCTTCAGTAATTGCTGTTAATCTGTTTGAATTTCTTTGGTAAGTTCTCTGATATGGTGTTCTTTGATGTTTTCTTGAGGGAGTTTTTGTATTAGTTGGAGTATAATTGTGATCAGGTAATGTTTTGATGTTATCATTTTGCCTATTTTCTTGATTTATCACATTGCAGCTTGATGCTTCCATTGTTGAGTTAAAGACATCTGTTGTATTAGATGTTGCGGTTACCTATAATGAAATACAGTATTTTCACAGCTTTATCTCTATAGTATATGCTATGTCTCAAAACTTATCTTCGTATAAATCTTTGTTAATGTAGCATTATGAAGTACTCACCTGTCCAAAGCCCATTTCACATACATCATCTCCTTGAATAGACTTTGTTCCCATAAGGCTGAGGAGCCGCTTTTCTGCATCAGAGAGAGGTACATAATTTGCTGGTCCTCCACCACTTTTCACAATTTCTTGTTTGATTTTTGATGCCTTAGCTTTAGTTTTACATTTCCAGCCAATCAAAGCCTATTAAATACATACATTAACTGCAAAATTAAATATTGTTGATTAAAGCTTTTACCCTTCTCCAATCTTCTTTCTTTTTTTCGCCAAATCCCAAACTATTCAGTTGATGGGTAATGTTTTGCCACAGTTCATGCCCCTTTGCTTTGCCATCAGGTCCATTAAATTTATTACTGATCACCTCAGGGTTTTTTTCGCAAATATCGAGTAGCAAGTTCCAATGTTCTTGTCTGACTCTCATGATTGATCCAAATTTAAAGCACAATTTAAAGCCAATATTCGGAAGAAGACGCAGTCAGGTTATATACATACAGCAAAGCATTTGCAAAGTGAGGTTAGAAAGCTTTTTTTAGTAGAATACCACACGTCAAGACAAGTGGTTTTCAAGCGACAGTATTTGTCACTTTTATGCGACTATTTTTGCACACGGAGTGCCAGTCGTATGGAATTCAATCAATTGAGGGAATTCCATGTGACACAGAGTCCCACTGCTGGACATGTAATTCACTTTTCGTTAGATGTGGGCAATGTTTATGATAGTGTCAACTACTGAAAACTGTGTATTACATGTTATCTAAAGTAAGCGATCACAAGCAAATAGCACTTTTTCTATACAAAAATAATATCTCCTGTTGTGAGTGTGAAGTGGTGTAATCTCGTTAGCCGATTTAGAGGCTAACACAAAACGGTTTAGAACGGACGTGGAAATCTCGATCTTTGGACCACCTGGGTTTCTATCAGTTCACCGGCTATAATCCAATTACCGAAGCCGCTCTTGACGCTCGCATTTATCGCTGTCGACGCAGAAACGAAATAGTCGCCCTACCCAAAGGCATCACTACAGGGTGAGTTTTATTGCCCTGACTAAGTGGCTAATGGCAGAAACATAGTGGAGTAGTTCACATCGTCGCGATGTTTATAATCATAAATCACCACCTGACTCAACTAGGTTCATTAACAGTAGGGATGACATCTTCACCGTGTTCTCAACAAAGAGTGACATGATCAAAAAATAGCGTCAAGTCGCTTGACTTAGTATGTAGGACATACCATAGACCATACTCACATACGCATTTGCCTCAATTATTATCAGTTCGGTATGACGTACACACAAAAAGTTATTTGTCGTTTTCCTGAAATCTCTATAACAAGGGAAATGTATAGTTAACCCTTGATTTTAGATAATCTGGAAAGTGACAAAAAACTCGAGCGGTAAATTCAAAGATATATTATTTCTAAATAATACACATATGCAATTGATTTTATGATGCATGTGCTTGCAATTTTGATTTCTCGGTACCATCAGTTGTTAATCATTGCTATTTGAAGTGTTCACGTTGGACTGTCTCTTTTAGTATCAGACAAGATTGCTTCCAACCGGAGGCGTTCGTGACGGCCACTTTCCAAGCTCTTTCTGCCCGTTCTGCTGTTGAATTAGCGCTCACATAGCGAACTCTTTTTATGCTATTGACACACTGCAATGCACAATCGAAAAATATCACTGTTGGCGGGTTTATGCAACCTTTTAATAGTCATGGTCAAAATTATAGACATAAACATGAGAGTTGAAATACGTAACCCTTAGGAACGTCTTTATCCAACTTGACATGAGCACGTTGGGGACGCCTTGAAGCTCGTAACTTATGCTTGTGTTTATGTAGTCCTCTCAGAGTCAATGGTTTGAGGGTTATAGATGTTTTATGATTTGCCGTTGTCGCTATCCCATTTTGTTTTTGATTTTCGCCGTGTCCGTCATTTGCCTGTTCGATTTTGGCATTTTTTGTTTCTATTGTTGCAACTGACCAACAAGGAAGGGCCAAGAAGCTGCGATCTGTCAAAATCGCGTGTTATTGTCATTGTGCTTATGCATATACTAAGTGACATATAAATCCGAACACCCAGTTTAAATGGTTTTATTTTAATAAAATTTTGTATAAGTACTTAATGAAGCATAATAAGTAAATGATAGAAATTTCAAAATGATTGCACTGCTTTAAAGCCCTTTGACCTTTAATAATGTGTGGATGCACCCTGATGTGCCTCGCATTCTCCAACGCGCCTAGGCATGCTTCTGATCAGGTGGTCAATGTCCTCCTGTGGTATCTCATTCCAGGCAACCACCAACTCCTCTCGAAGTGCTTCTACAGTCTGAGGAGGACGTTGCAAATTGAGCAATCTCCTACCCATCATATCGCACACGTGCTCAATTGGGGATAAGTCGGGAGATCTTGGTGGCCATGGTAACAATGTGACATCATTATGTTGAAAGAAGTCTATTGTGACTCGCGCAACATGTGGTCGGGCATTATCTTGTTGGAAAGTTGGATCTGCCAGGGTGTCAAGATAGGGTAAAAGATGGGGTTCTAGAACTTCGTGGATATAACGCTGCGCATTCATGTTACCTCTGATGAAGATTAAAGGTGACCTGGAACCATAAGCTATAGCACCCCAAACCATAACTCCAACAGTGTGATGAACATGTCTTTCAACAAAAAACTGTGTCTTCCTCCTTTCACCACGTCGCCTTTTAACCCTGTTATCGTGCATGCCTAAACAAAATCGAAACTCGTCACTTAAGACAATACTGTTCCATTCCTGATCCCAGAGTGACCGTTGTCTGCACCACTCAAGGCGATTACGTCGGTGTTCTCGAGTTAAAGGGAGGACCCAGTGTGGCCGGTATGAAAACAAGCCAAAACTTCTCATTCGTCGGTAAACACTTCGCATGCCAATAGGCCTTCCGTGTTCTGCAAACCATTCATTTGCAATGGACCTGGTAGTGGAGAAACGGTCCCTTAAGGCCAATAATCTTAGGCGGCGATCTTCACGGTCTGTTGTTCTACGGCGGCGTCCAGTGCCCCTTGCTCTTTGCGTACGGCCTTCTCGAAGCCATGCCTGACAACACCTAATCACAGTGTCTACACTTCTTTGCACTCTAACTGCAATTGCCCGAAAAGAAAGTCCAGCTTCCCGAAGTCCCACTATACGGCCATTATCAAACTCACTAAGTTGACGAAATAGTACACGTCTCCGTACTCTAGGCATCGTAACCGATCTTAAAGGATGTCAAGAACCAAAATCCGCCAACGTTGATTCTTTACTACGGCTGAAATATTCATTTTTAGAGCGTTAGTGAATAAAAAAAAAAGCAGTATAAAAACCGGAATGTCCAACTGATAAGGCTGGAAATTTTTTCACTTGTTATTTACAGTAAGATAAATACATTCACCAACTTTTATTAAAATAAAACCATTTAAACTGGGTGTTCGGATTTATATGTCACTTAGTATATGTCTATGTTTATGACTATGACTATTAAAAGACTGTACAAACCCGACATTAGTCTTGTAAAACTATGATCGGAAGAACACTATATTCTCTTAATTTCTTACACAAATCTTGCCTGATACTGTT